TTTACCCACACCTAAAGTTTATTATTTTATTTTATTTTATTTTTCAATTCTCAGATTTAGATATCCTATTTAAACTTATTTATGTGGTAATGCACTTAATTTAAAAAAAATGAAATATAGCCATCTTTTTTTTAAAAAAAAAAATATAGACATTTTGTCTTGTGAAAGTACCTAACTGCCCTTGAATTTATTACCTAACTGCCCTTGAATTTATTTCTTCAACATTTTTCCCCTCCTTCACCGTTCACTCGCCTCCCTCCACTTCAATTTTTCATTTTTCCCCTTTTAACGGAACACCCACCAGCCACCCTCCCTCTTCAAGCATTTTCGTGTGCTCTTCCCCTCCGGCCGGCGATTCAAACCCTCTTTCACGCCGAAATCCCACAGAGCTGCTGCTCTTCACCATTTGGTGCTCTTCTCAAGGTGGGGTTCATCAACCACTGCTATTTTTAGGGTTTTTTTTGAACCTCAAGATTGCGTCCTCATATTCTCCGACGGCGTCCGCCTCCACTCGTGGTTCATCAAGCTCTCCCCCGACTGCAGAGGTTTTTTTTTTCCTTTTTATTTCAACCCATTTTTGTGTTGTTCTGTTGTGCATCTAGGTGTGTATAGTTAAAGTAGAAACTTTTTGTTGAGGATGGTTGTGGGCAGTTGTGGATTTGTTTAGGGTTTTTGGTCCTTGCTTTATTTGTTACTTGCTGTTGTTCTTCTGGTTAGGCATCTCTCCACAGCTAAGTGCAATTAAGTTATATCTTGATTTAGTTGGGATGATTGTGGGCTTTTGTGGACTTGTTTACGGTTTTGGTCCTAGGTGTTTGAAATGCGGAGAGGAGTAGAATCAAATGCATATTTTCACTGAAGTCATTGTCTTGAACCCTTCAAGTTCAATGTATTTTGTACCAATGGCCAAGTGCAACTGTTGGTTATGCCATAAACAGAGTCTTGAGGCCGAGTTTGCCAATATGTATTACTGCTTTGATCTTTCTCTTGTAAGTTTTACAGGGAAAACATTCTTAGAGATTCTTAAAGAGGCCTAGGGTTTTAACTTTTTCCAATTGTGTCATAGCATTAACATTTAAAGCAATATATCACAAAATATATACATATTGTTGTTCATCATCGGAGTTTGGAGTGGGAACTGGTTTTCAATTATCAAAAATCGCTCTATTGCGAATTTCTCTTAAAGAACACCTTTATCTTTGTAAATTTATGCAAGGTAATTATGATTAATCAACTGTCTCTGAACACAATGCTAATTCCTTTTGTGTGTAAACATATGTCCTACACTCCTACTTTTAGAACTCTCTTTTCATTACATTTTGCTTCATATTATCCATTTTCAGACAACACTCATATTTGTCGTCCACAAGTTTGGAATTTGCCTTAGGTGATCCTTGCTATTTGGATTTCGCCCTGATGATGACGACCGATAGGGGGGATGTTGAGTAAAATATGAGACCAATCATCCCAAAGAAGAAACATTGCCAGATTATGATACTCCCCACCATCACTAAGTAGTAGTTTGTCTCCCCAAGTCCAAATTCTTTTGCTTCCCTCGCTATTGCCTGCAAAATCCAAGTAACTACTAAATTAATAAGAATTATTTACTTCAGTCTTATGATTTTATTACATTGGTAATAACACTAAATGGCTATGTAACTTTTAAAAATAAGTTGATAAAATAAGTTGTCACTTTTTGTTGAAGTATGAAATAATGGTCATTTTGCTATGTAAAATGACACAATTATTATTACTGTCAAAAAATATTTTTGAAAATTCAATTTTTGATAGTAGGGATAATTGTATCTTTTTACAAGTGAAATGGCTATTATTCGGACTTTCACAAAAAGTGACTATGTTTCAATTGATTTTAATGTTTGATGACGTGGCATGATAAAATACACATTCCTCGTTTTGTGAAATCATTATCAAACAAGGTATGAGTGGACCAAAATTGAAATTCTAGATAACATGCGCAAAAACGGGGGAAAAAAAAAGAAGAGAAAAATCCATCACCTGAAAATCATGGTTGACGGCCATCCCGTCCGTGCAGACAGTGGTGGCCGAGACAGCCGCCCCGACCGACAGGAGGACGACGGCGTTGACAGAGAACGCCGTGAACCGCTGCCCCACCAGGAGGAAGGCGGGCGCTGCCGTGAACACCAGCTGGGAGGCCACGATCAGGGATGACATGGACACGGGGAGGCGGGCCACGCCGTACGAGTACATGTAGTTGTCGGCGCTGGAGATGGCGCCGATGGTGGCGGCGGCCGCCACGGCGCGAGGGGTGAGGAGGAGGATAGGGGCGTCGAC